ACCGGTCAGTTACAAGCAACAAACGGACTTTCACACCGACATTGAGACAGAAAACATTTGATCAGTTTCCCAACGCTATAATCATCGTCAAGGACAGGATTCGAGGCCTTTGTCCCCATTGCTTAAAAATCGAGGCTTAAATATTACTCGTAGTTATTCGCTCCGCACTGAGCTACCAAGTGTTTGGTATGCGCACATGCTTATCGGTTCTTTCATATTGGGGAAACATGCATTCAATGCTTGAACATCGACTATTGATATGGATCGAACTAACTAGTACAGCTGAGCTCAGTCGCAGCAAATGCTAGTAAGACTGAATTACATCAGAAAAATTATGTCACATAAACCAAAAGGAAAGGCTTCTCAGTGATTGGTAATGCAATTAGATACAGAGAGCATGTGTCAGAGGGCTCCCATTTCCAGTCTCTGTAAGTATCACTTAATCGTGAAATAACCTCAAATATTTCCTAGACAAATGTAGCTTGCCTTTGCGCATTTGTAATGATCCATTTCAGAATATGGTTCAAAATTAATATCCTAACCCAGTCCAAATATACAAGACCCTTTTGCATGCATAGACTACATAATCGTAGAGTTCATTTCTCAAATGTCTGTATTGAATATGCTAAGTATGCTAAGGATGACCCTTTGGTCAGACTGACAAAAAGAATGGCGAAGCACTCACTCGAAGGGGAAGTTGATCATGCAAGAAAAATCTTTGACCAAATGGGTAGAAGAGACTCAGTTTCTTGGAATGTAATGATCAAGAGCTACATTGAAAACAATAGGATTTTTGATGCAAGAGAAATGTTTGATAAAATGCCCGTGAAGACCTCAGTCACTTTGAATACCATGATCATGGGTTATATTAAGGCAGGAAAAACACACATTGCATTGAAGCTTTTTACAGTGATGCCTGATAAAGATGTCGTCAGCTGGACGGCTATAGTTACTGGGTTGTGCTGCGCTTCACAGGTTGATGACGCTTGGCACTTGTTTGAGCAAATGCCTGAGGCCAATTCAGTTTCTTGGTCTTCGATTATTTCAGGTTTTCAGCAAAATGGGTTTGTCTGTGAAAGCTTGAATGTCTTTAAGAAAATGCTGGTGGATGGGACTCAACCAAATTCTCATTCATTTACTAGTGCTTTGGCTGCTTGTGCTAATTTAGCTATGGTTTCACCAAGTGAGCAATTTTATTGTCAGTTGTTTAAGAGGGGCTTTGAGGGGAATACTTGTATTGGAAATTCAGCAATTTCGATGTTTATGAAGTCTGGTAGTTTTCATAATGCACGGTGTGTTTTTGTGGAACTAACTAAACCCGATCTGGTCACATGGAACTCTATGATTATGGGTTATGCACAGCATGGTTATGGAGTAGAAGCTATGATGATTTTTCATCAGATGCAAAAGGCTCGATTTTTGCCTGATGGTATTAGTTATATGGGAGTATTGCACAGTTGTAGTCATTGTGGATATGTAGAGGAAGGGAAGCAATATTTTAGGTCCATGGATATGGATTATGGGATTTCCCCAGAACCTGTGCACTTTGCCTGCATGGTAGACCTTTTTGCACGTGCGGGAAGGCTTAAAGAAGCTTACACGATTATAAAACAAATGCCCTTTGTGCCTAAATCAATAATTTGGAGGACTTTGCTGAATGGATGTAGGATTTGGGGTGATTTAGAGTTGGGTGTTTATGCAGCTGAACAGGTATTGGAACTTGAACCAAACAATTCGAGTGCATGCTCGATGGTGGTTGATATCTTTGCGTTAGCTGGGAAATGGAAGGAGGTGGCAAAGATGAGGAGACGTATGAGACAACTAGAGGTTAGAAAGGAGTTGGGATGCAGTTGGATAGAAGTGAAAGGGAAAACTCATCTATTTACCACAGGGGATGGAAATCACCAGGAAACAGATAAAATTTTCACAATTATTGAGTTATTAGCTGAGGATACCGATAGATGTAGTTTAAGATTGGAGGGTTTGGACTATAGCTAGAACGAAAATCATGAAGACGCGGATAAAATTTTCTCAATTATCGAGTTATTGGCCGAGGATACAGATAATTACAGTTCAAGATTCAAATCCTTCTCCTATCTTGGCTAGAGAGATTAGTAACAATTCTAAAGCCATCAAAACTCTCCCACTAAACTTTCCTATATTGTCGAAGACATTATTCAACGATTATGGAAATAGATTTCGAGTATTGATTTGCAAGCACGTGACTTTAAGCAATATCAACAACTTGAATAGAGCTTGACTATTCGTACCATATTCTTCCCCTCATATCATGGTCTCACCACTTGGTCCCCAACGTTCCCTGGATGATTCGGTCTCACCACTCGATCCCTAAATATCATAGTCATCCGAACTCTTGATAGGTGGGGGCAATAACCTAGACACGTCTTTTTGTTTATAGGCTCGCAGGTTATGTGTTGCAAGTCGATTCTAGGAGAGTTGTAAAGAGAAATATTTTTGTTCCATTCGTAGTCTACCTTCATTTTGAGTCTAAATAATGACTGATTCTATATTTTAACCCACACAGCTTATTAGCTTGAACGCCTAAATGCATTCTTGTGCTGCACTTTGGGATATTCACATTCAAGAAGTTCCAACTCTCACGATTATGCCTTCGTCGTTGGTCCCGACTAGCCCGCATGCTTGCCATGCTTTCGCTCAACTTTGGTTCCATTCAACGCATGCTTAATGACAACTGATCACTCTTATCTCGTACAAATCAAGGTAAATAAACTCTCGCTCTAATTTAATGAGAAATAAACTTGTGCTATGGTGGAAAATGTAGAGTATCGTAATAATCCTAAAATTTAATTCTCATGGTTAATGTCCAAGCTAGGAATGGGCATGGTAACACGAACTCTTCATAATTGAATCTATTTTACAGAAATACGTGAAATAGTAATATTATGAGGAACTTACAAAGGAGTTTTTGTTGTTAAAATGTCTAATCGATGGGGTCTTGTTTTTGTGAAATGATGTTGAAACATCAAGGAAGGGGTGGGTGTGGGTGTGCGTGTGGGTGTGGGTGTGTTGGTTGGGAAACATCAGACACTCATTGTCTCATCTCTTTCATTTCTTTACGAGTATTATCTTAAAAATATTGTACTTTTAAGAATGTTTAGTTGGAATGACAGCGTTTGAGAGATGTTCAACTCGTTTTTTCAAGCTGTTTAGTAATATGAAAACTAATTACTAGTTTTTGCCCGTCGAGTGAGCACGGGCATTCTTTCTAAAATGGAGTAT